TATCTTCAACTTTGCTGATTCTTCCTTCTTCCTATTCAAATCTGATGTTAAGCCCCTCTAGTGAATTTTTCATTTCAGTTATATGTTTCAACTTCATAATAATCTATTTGGTGCTGGATTTGTTTTATAAATTTTACCTCTTCATTGGTATTCTCTTACTTGGTGAGATAGCATTCTCACAATTCTTTATTTCTTTAGATATGGCATCCTTTTCTTCAGGGCAGTGTTTACTGACTGCTTCATTTCCTGTGAATCGGACATATTTTTCTTTATTTGTTTTGTGCATGTCTCTTATTTTTCTTACTAAGTCTAGGCATCTTAAATAATATAATGTGGCAACTCTAGAAATCAGATTTTCCCACCTCCTTAGGGTTTATTGTTTAGTGATTTTTCAGAATTAAATCTGTGAAGTCTGTATTCTTTGTCACTTCAGTGGCCACTGAAGTCTCTGCTTGGTTAGCTTAGTGATCAGCTAATGACTGAACAAAAATTTCCCTAAATGCCTGAAGCCAATAAGCCTTCCAGTCTTTACAGAAGGGCTCTGTGCATATGTTGGGGCACACTTTCCATACTCACCAGCAGTTGATAGCCCTGCCTTACCCTTCACTTCCTGCTTGCACACAGCCTCAACATCAGACAGAGATAAGAGCTTAGGACTTTTTCAGGTATTTTATGAGAATGCTCCCAGCCCTGGGCATACATGTAGTCTGCTAGATCCCTGGCAATGTGTCAGAGCTTTTCAAAGTCTTCTATGGACATCTCATTCCCCAGCATTTCCTTTTAAGCTTTTCAGTTAGTCTGTTGTTTGCCCCAACTTTTATCTACCACCTCAGGCAGCTGTGATGATTAAACAATTGCTGATGTTTGTTTTTGACAAAATGCCTTAGAGGAAAAGGTTATTTGCACTTTGTGAACTCTGAGGCAGGTCAAATAAAGAAAAATCTTGTGAGTGGGGTCTTCCAGGGAACCACCAGTCAGGTCAAATAATGATGATTCTCTCAAAATGGGGTTTTGAAGGAGCTCTGTCACCATTCTGCACTATCCAGTGGCTGCCAAGCTCCTGTTTTTTATCATGAATATACATTGATGGTCTTCGAGGCTACCACAGAGCTGGGGAAGATAGGAACTTAGCAGATTAAAAATGCCACAAAGATCACTGTTCTTACCAAATCAGCCACTTTTCTCAAATGAACACTTCTTGGATTGTTGCAAACCTTTGGTTAATTTCCAGAGTTCTGAGAAAGTTAATTTTGACAATTCCTGCTAGTGTTCTTATTGCTTTTATGGAGGAGAGGATTTGGGGAGGTCATTACTTTGCCATTCCCACTGTCATACTACTCTTTTATTTTTAATCTTTCTGTGAAATGTTTATTTAGGTGCACCACTTATAATCTCAGTTAGAGGGGCACCTAGGTGGCTCAGTCGGTTAAGTGTCTGACTCTTGATTTCAGCTCAGGTCTTGATCTCAGGGTTGTGAGTTCAAGCCCCATGTTGGGTTCCATGCTTGGCATGGAGCCTACTTTAAAAAAAAAAAAAATCTCGGTTGGAAAGTTTTGTCTTTTATTAGGAAACTAAACCATTTGGGTATATTGTGCTCACATATATATTCAATCTTATCCTTACTACTTCATTTTACATTTCTATTTATTATGGTTTCTTTATTTTTTAATTTTTCTTTAGGGTTATCCTTATTCCTCTCTTCCCACTAATAGTTTGAAGTTCAACTTTCTGTTTTACTATAAGTTACTGTAAACATCCATATAAAAATATCTAAACTTATATTTTCTATCAAAATAAAACTAAATAGTATAATAAGTACATAAAGTCATATCTTAAAACAATGTTTAAAACAAACAAGAAAACTGTTTAAATCATTACAGTGTACTCTGGTGTCTCTGGTTTGAGAAGAAGATTGAGGTAATTTTACCAATTGCTGCTATTTATTGAGTGGCTGTTAGCATTAAACAGGATACATGCTTTCATTTGTTAATTCATTTAATCTTCACAACTCTGTAAGAACTCTTGTTATATATGATGAAATGAACTCTGAGAATTTAAATAAAGTTCCTAGAGTCACATAGATTATAGTTAACAATATCATGATCCAAGCTTGGGTCTGCCAAATTCCAGAGCCAAAACTACACTGCGTCTCAAAGGCTTGCACCTTTCTAAAAGGGTAAAAATTTAAGAATACAGTCAGTTCGGAGGGATGTGCATGTTGATGAGAACAAATAATACAGAGTGTCTTTCCCAATATCTTTCATCAGATAAAATTTTAAATCTAGAGGGGGGAGGGAAGAAAATACAATGATAGATGAAATCTAGAAGAATAGAAACATGCTGAAAGATGGCCAGGAAGGAAGGGGCAGCTGGGGCAGTATGAGAAGGAAGTCAAAGAGACAGAGAAAGTCAACCTATTTTGACTGAAGGGAACAGATGGGAGATGAGCAAAGACAAAAGGGGCCATGTGGGTAGGTGTCATCAGTTAGAGGGCAAGTAACTGGAATTTGATCAATCGACAAGAATTTATTTACTGGACTCCTGGGTACTGTGTGAGATACAAAAGAATGTAGAGTTATTTTGGGAATGATAATGATGTAGACAAGACAGATGGCTTGAACTGGGGCATTAACGCTGAAGGAAAAGGCTAGAGACAGAAGGCAGAAAGAAAGAGGTTAAGGCAATCTCCATGTGAGCCAGCTTGCATATCAATCTGGAATTTTTGTGGGAACAGCAAGATAAAGAGGAAATGCTGTAATTGCTATTGAATCAAAGTTAAAGAATCGGTAGATGGAACAAGAAAGATACCAAATCACCTACCCCCTCTCTTTCTGCTTTTGTGTCAATTAAAAGATTATTAAAGATGAAAACACACCCATGTGTACATACACACTACAGATAGTGCTTTAAATCATCCTTCCAAATGTACCTATGACCATTTAGCTAAGACTAAGTGGGGCCTGATACATTTTACTAAAACCAAATAGGTCTGAGGACCTTGGAAGGTTACTAAGAAGTATTTTGTGTTGGAGATTGCAGGCAAGACTTAAGAGGTTCCGGAAGACATTCAACAATGTAACAAGGATAGCTTACCATTTGTTAAAGTGAAAGTAAGTCAAGGTTAATTGGCGCAGCAGATATGGAACCCAATTCAGAAACATGAGGAGGAAATGAGGGTTCTGAGTAGTTCCTTAGTATATTATTTGTCATAGACTCTCACATGAGCATTCATTTATTCTAAAGTATTTATTGAACATCTTCTGTAACAAAAATGATAGCTGCCATGAGTTTTCCTGTATTCTGAGCTCTCTACGTGCATTATCTCATCAAATCCTCATAACTGTAATGTGATTGTTAGTATTATCCCTATTTTATAAATGAGAAAAATAAGATTCAGATATGTTAAGTAACTCACCCAAGGTCACATAGTCAGTAGCTGGAAGAGAAGCAATTCATAGCCTAATCTGTATTATATTTCTTGTACTTCGAGGCAGGCATATTTTAGGTATAAAAATTAATACTTGGCAGTCCTTCTTCTTGAGAAGCATACAGACTAGCTAGGAGACAGAAAGCCAAACAGCTATAAAACAATAAAATGTTTTCTGTAAGAGGCATATACTAAGTGAGTGAGTAAAGAAATACAAATTTGCCTGCAGCTATCAGAGAGCACTTGAGCATAGACTTTAAGGATCAGCAGTCATTTCCCAGGTGATGAAGGCACAGATGGAATTCCACTACAGGCAAAAGCAGTGCAAACAAGCACCCAGAGGTAGGAAGGAGTTTGAACTATTTAGGAAACCCTAAGGAAATCAGAAAGACTGAAACATAAAACGTAAATGAACAGTAAGAGATGAGGCTGGAGAGGCACGCACCTGTATGTGAGGCTAAAGAACTTACAATTTATCCTGTAGAAGTTGGGGAAGCTTTGAAGTCAATCCTGTGAAGAGGTGGGTTAACAAAAGAGGTTCTACATGATGTTGTATAACGGGGTCCATAAGACTATGAAAAGTCAAGGACTGGAGATGACCTGTGAGGGCCACAGCTAAATAGAAATGGCACCATTACAAATGGAAGACTCCATTGGAGATTCGAGGGGAGGTGGCGGGAAGGCAACAGCGTGCTCCAGAGAGACCTGGTCCCTGTGTACCAGAGCCTCCCCCAGGGTGGAGACACTTGGCACATAACTGCCTTGGCCAGTTATTTCACTCATGCATTTACTCATCCAATGCACAGATACATGCCAGGCAGCCATAGCCTCGGTAGCATCAGTATTTCAGTAGCAATACCGAACTTGATGGTGGATGGCTTTTGAAACGGCATGGCTGCTCTCCTGGAAACTGACTCCAAGTATGACATTGGTGAGGACCTGTTTAGAGATTTGTGGACAGCAGTCAAGTACAGCATGGAGAATGCCAGTAGTGAGTGCCCTGGAGGACACTGTCTGGGGTATCTGGAGTGAGCAGCGAGGGACCTATGGGTTCAAATCCCCCAAACTTTTGGGCACTGAGGTAGCTCACCAAATCTCAGACGAGAGGCACCGTCAAACACCTCAAGAGAATGGGTATCGGCAGGGAACAACCACAGCCGACAGAGGGCAGCATCTAAAACGAGGTAGGTAGAAAGATCCCAATTACAAATACCCAAGGGGAACTGAACAGAACCCCTGGGTTATGGATTTGAGATACTTCTTCCCAGTGGGATAGAGACTGAAAGACTTGAGCAGAGGCTCGTGTCATGTGTACGTTTGTCTGTAAATGTGTATGCTTAGGTAGTAAATGGATGTTGTCCTTTGATTCTTGCCCCCACTCAGTTATGTGCCGCTTCCCTCCCTGGGTTTCAGCTTTCTCATCTACAACATGAAAAAGCTAGACCTCTTCAAGATCCCTTCCAGCTGCAGTATTTTATTAGGACTCCAGATGGTTACTGGTGATGACAACATTCTTCATCAACTTAAAATTATCTTGTGTATATGATACAACATCAGATTTTCCTCCTTTTAGGAACTGCCGTGTGAAAATGACCCAACAAATGCAGAATCTACATCTTTCTCAGTCGAAGAAACATAGTGCTCCATCATCTCCCAATGCTGCCAAACGCCTGTACAGAAACCTCTCTGAGAAACTGAAGGGGAGCCACTCTTCATTTGACGAGGCCTATTTTCGAGCAAGAACAGACCGGCTGAGCCTCAGAAAGACCTCAGTGGTAATAACATTCTTTTTATTCTTGTCTCTGCTTGATTGGTACAGTTGTGTTTGGGTTTGAAGAGATTCTAAGATGCTCCACATTTACTTCAGAACCTGCATTTGCAGCTTTAGAAATGCTGAGAGTCCGGAAAGACAGGACCTACACACGTCTGTGCTGTGAGCTGAAACTTGAGTGAATGTGAGAGTTTCCCTTTCTTTTTCTTAATTTCTTGCCCTTTCTTTTCTCTTAGTTTTTCTGTCTGTAATGTATCAAAGAAACAACAAGAAAATGGCAGTTTCACAAATAGGGAGCATGAATTAAGTAGGCTTTTTGAGAGCTCCGGTGTTCATTCAGATACTAAATGAACAATGAACGTTTCATTTACTTATTTATAATGTACGGCCCCTATGCTTTTCCAGAGGCATTCAAAACAGAATCTAGGCAAAAAAATGTGTATGTGTTATATAATGGGAAATAAAGTGATAGAGATAGAGGGAGTGAGTGAGCAAGGAAAGAAGGGAGGAAGGAAGGAGTGAAAAAAAAAGACTAGAGAAAAGAGAAACAGATATACGAAAATCCTAAGCAAATATAGTACCTAAAATTTACGATGACCTTTCTCTCTGAGCTCCTTGTCAGTCAAAGCAGAAAGGGAAGTCCAGCTGGTTATAGCATCCCATTAGCTGATAACTGAAAGTCTACCAGAAGAAATGAGTGTTTTCCTGTTGCTGAGTCCTCTGGTCTTTATAAGATGCCACAGTGAATTGTGTGATAGAGAAGGAAGGTCAATATTGGTGATGTTACGGACATTGTCATAGAGTAGTTTCTGATACCGACCCTCGGTAAGAGCTGAGGGCATAATATTACAATGCTCGGCAGGGGCATTTCTGCAGGGGGTAATGGCCCCACTTGTTTGAGCTTAACACAGAAATGAGCCCAAGCCTTTCCAGAGAGAAGCATGCTAGGGTTTGCCAACAAAAGCATGGAGGAGGAAATGACTCAAGAGTGAGAGCGAATATGGCACATGAGAAATTAGGCATACTAAGAATCACAGACAAATACACAACTGTGGACAGGGCAGCATGCTAACTTTGTTCTCTCTGTTTTCTCATTTGTTGTCTCATTTCCAGCTCATCTTCTGGGAGGGTTCGGTTGCTGAGTTACGGCCTCAGCAGCAGAGGCTCTTGGATTGGCAGACTGTAGACAGAACCCTTCTGCATTCAGCAGGCTCTCCTGTAGCGAAGACAGCTGCATACCAAAAATAGTTCTACCCCTTGGGGCCCCCATTGTCAAAACGTGTATTTGCATACTAGCGCTGTATTTCCCTCAAATTTCAATCATGTGTCATGTGCTCAGTTAGGCCGACCTGCAGCCTTCGATGGAGATAACTGATTTTTGGTGATACTAAAAATAAACCCTGCCAACCTAAATATTTGCTCACTGAAGACCTTGCACGGTTCAATCAGGCGAGCCCTGTGCTATGTCAGGACCAATGGTATGTCAACATTTTTAAAGAGCAAACAATTCCTGGAGAAGATACCAGATAGATGTGTAAATAGTGTATGTGTTGCCCTTCTCCCATGAGCTGCAGAAATACATATTTAAGAGAATTCCAGAGCTTTTCTCCTTTGTTTACTATTAATCTCTGATAGAACTTTTCAATGTAACTCTATTGTCCTTAGCTGTTATTTTTCTATGGGTGATTTTTATCCTATGAATATTCAACTTTTGGCCCTCTCAGCACAGTTGGCTACCCAGCCACTGACACCCTCGCTGGACACCACCTCCTGAGGCCTTCCCTTGAGGGCTCAGAACTGCCAGGTGTTCAGTGGTTGGAGCTTTGGGCTGAGAAGGTGCAGAGGTTAGTACAGAGGAGTCTAGGAGCTGGGAGCCGCCTGTAGGCAGTGAGAGCTATTCGAGAGCTGCAGAAAGGAAAGGGTATGTAACATTATCAACTTTAGTGGTATTATTCTTGTGTCAGTATGGAGCACGGGCTGGAGGACACTAGGACCAGCAACAGGCAGGTCCCTGCCATCATCCAGGCAAGGGATGACAGTGGTCTGGGTCTGACTGATAGTAGGGACGTGGGGATGGGGAGGGGAGGGGATGAGTCGGAGGGAAAGCATGCTCTCAATTGCAAGCCAGTCATCATTTCAGCGACCTGTGCTGCATTATCTATGCCAGATTTTCCTGAACTGTGTTCTATAGCACACTATTCCAGGGGCGGTTAAAACAAATGCAATTAAAAAAAAAAAAGAAAGCAAAAACATGTTCTCTGAACAAATATTTAAAACAGGTCATTTTTCCCATCTGTTGGAGAGTCATAACTGCATAACTGCTTGTTAGAATTATTAAAGACTCTGAGAGGTCTTACAGTAAAATAACGCAATAACCCAGCTTAATCCAGTGTGCACCAAATTTATATGACTGCATGCCACGTTCTTCACAGAACACCTCATAATGACCTATCAGACAGTCACCTCATAATGACCTATCAGACAATATTGCACAAAAGACGGGTTTGAGGAAAGCTGATGTTTGCTCTTCTCTGTAGACCAGCCATGCTGTACTGTATGGTCTCAGTGCATCTAAATATACAGATCCATTCAGTGCCCATTAGAAAGATGGAGGGAGGGTCCAGCTGTGTTTAACAACTGCAGTTGTAAGTGGGGAGCAGTCACTGACGTCAGAACAGCTAAGCCACAAAGGCAAGCTGGCAAATGGAAGTGTGCTCACCTGCTTGTGTTCTTGCCCTCCAGAACTTCCAGGGCAATGAAGCCGTGTTCGAAGCGGTCGAACAACAGGACATAGATGCCGTGCAGATCCTCCTGTATCAGTACACACCGGAAGAACTAGATCTCAACACACCCAACAGCGAGGGGCTGACGCCTCTAGATATCGCCATCATGACCAACAATGTGCCCATCGCCAAGATTCTTCTGAGGATGGGGGCCCGGGAAAGTCCACACTGTGAGTAAACCTGGGAAGAAAACCATGTGCTGTTAAGACTAGACCCAGCCTCATGCCGCTGAAATAGCCATTGCTGACATTTAGAGCAGAACAGTTGACGAAGACAGGCTCCGAATGCCTTTACATGTTTTAATGGACTTTCACGCAAATAGTGACAGTGTTCAACCAGTCTAGGCATCAAGTTACATTCTAAACAGAATACACTGAGTGGAGCTGAACAGGAACCTGGAAAGAACTTCCTCCTAAGAATTTAACCCAAGTTTTAAAATATGTGAAACACACCAAGTGAGGCTATAGAATAGGAATGTAGAAAAAGTTTAAGTATGTGTGTGTTAGTGTCTTGTGTCCGCAGGCAATATGGTAGCTTCATTCAATCGCTCATTCATTCAACAAACACTGAGGACAGGGCACTGTTCTAGGTACCAGGAATGCCATGGTGAGCAAGATAAAATCCCTGTTATCATAGAATTTAGACACTAGTGCAGGAGACTTCCAATAAGCAAGTAAATAGATTAATTAAATTATAAACTCAAATAACGATGAATGCTATGAAGAAAATAGAGTGAGTGGCTAGAGGCTGATGGAGTGGGGACTATTCTAAATAGGTTGGGCAAGAAAAGCTTCTCTGATATAATAACGTTTGAGCCTGGTCCTACGTGATATCAAGGAATGAGCCATGAGGAGATATGGGGTCAAACTCTAGGCAGAGTGAACGGCAACAGAAAGGTGTCGAGGCAGGGTGCCTGGGTGGCTCAGTTGGTTAAGCGACTGCCTTCGGCTCAGGTCATGATCCTGGAGTCCCGGGATCGAGTCCCACATCAGGCTCCCTGCTCAGCGGGGAGTCTGCTTCTCCCCCTGACCCTCTTCCCTCTCGTGCTCTCTATCTCTCATTCTCTCTCTCTCAAATAAATAAATAAAATCTTAAAAAAAAAAAAAAAAAGAAAGGTGTCGAGGCAGGCAGGAATGAGATTACATGTTTGATGGCCACAGTACGTCAGCCAGGAGGAGAGTGATCGCACAGGAAGGTCATTCCGGCTCTCGCACCCATGACAAGATGCTCACTTTGATTGTAAATGGGATGGAGAGACAGCAGAGCTGCTGAAACCGATGAATGACATATTCTGCTTTACATTTTAAAAGATCGCTACTGTGCTCCATGGCGAATAGACAGTGGTGGGGCCACTGTGGAACTGGGAAGGCCAGTTGGGAGGCCAGGAAACAGACACGGTGGCTTGGACTGGCACGGTGGTGACACTGATGGTGAGCAGGGGTGGAATTCTGGATGTATTTTTGAACAGCTTCATTAAGAGATAATTCCCATGCATGTAATTCATCCATTTCACGTGTACAGTTCAGTGGTTTTTGGTATATGCACCATGTGCAACCATGACCACAGTCATTTTTAGACCATTTTCATTACTCATACCCTCTCACTCCCCACCCACCCCCCCACTCTTCCCAGCAGGCAGACACTAATCTACTTCCTCTTCCAATAGATTGCCCATTCAGGACATTTCATGTAAGTGGAATCATATAATGTGTGGTCTTTTGGGACTGGCTTCTTTCTGGATGTATTCTGAAGTAGAGCTGATAGTACTTTGCCAAAGGGAGCTGCTCTGGGGCCGATGGCAGAGCCAGCCCAGGAGCGGACAGGACAAAGTCGTGGAGCCCTCAGCTAATGCCAGGCACTATTCTGAGCACTTTACGTGCATTCACTCCTTTAAGCCTCACGGCAACATTCTGAGGTAGGCACTCGCATTCCCCTTGGTGCAAACTCTCTGACCCAATGACCACAACGGCTCTGAGCCACAGTTTTTATGTTTCCTAAAAGAAAAAAGTAAACTCATCAAACTGTTACTTTCACTAATACTGATTCACTTACTTCCAAGTGGTGAGACCCAGAAGGCTGAAAGAGAAGCAAGCAAATATATAATTAGAGGCCACATCTCTGCTCCTAAATTTCACAAACCCCCACCACCCAAAGACTAGGTACAGAGGCAGATCCTTGTATCAGAAAACTCTTTATTTTAAAAATGCTGAGCTCACCACATTCATGTCAAACAGAGTGAGGATTTGGGTTCAGTAGGGTTGGGGCTTTGCAGTAAGAGCTCCATCGTCAAAGTGCCGCTTCTTTCTAATGGAATGGGAGGCTCGGAGGGGTGGGCAAATAGAGATGGAAGAAACCGAAAAGTCTTTGCTACCTTCCAACTTACATTGCAATAATGTCTGCCCCAAAGATCCAGCGAGAGAGTGGTGGGGAGAGAATCAGAGGGTCTGAACACAGAGAATGCAGACTGAGCCCCATTCTATAGGAACAAGGAAACCATTCATCCAGATGTTGCCTGCACTGGGCCGGATGAAACATTAGTCCCACTTACCTGAGACGCTACAAAGAATTCTGCATTTTCCGTGAAACCAGTGAGACTCCCAATCTCCCCAAGTCCCCTTGTGCATAATTAAATCTCCATAAAAGAACCTGCGTCCTAAATAATCTAGTTAAACCAAAAGCAAATTCATTCAAAAGGTCCCTGGTTTTTCTCATTCCCTCTGGCATGATAACCACAATCATCATGACAAAGTTGTAAAGGAAGATGAGAGCTAAACCCAGGTTTTAGCCTCCGGGAAATATGACACCTAAGTCACCTTGGCCACCCAAGAAGTCAAGGAGATTGTACCCTGTACAGACTCCCACATGTGTAAAGGTGGCAAAGGAACAGTGTTTGAGGAGCTGTGAAGCATTATCTCTGATTTTTACAGTAGCACAGGTTCTGAGAGGTTAAGTAACTAAAGGTCACACATCTGGCAAGTGAATAGGGATGTCAAGTACTCAAATCCAGGTCTGTAGGACACCCATGCCTGGGACCCTTCTATGCAAACTTACTGTCTTTCCAAATAATCAGTACAGAGGACTGTGGCTGCTGGGCCCTTGCATCTTTCCCTTTGTGCCATTTGCTAAAAATCCTCTGGTGTGTGTCTTTGTTCTCTTCTATACACTAAGGTGCCATGCCTGTTGGAGAGAGGCACAATAGAAAAGCACAATCTGTTTTCGGGGATTTTTAATTCACTTTATATATCAAGTACAAAAGGAAGAGAATTGCTTCTGTGCATGAGTGTGAGCAAGCCCAGGAAAAAAACCGTGGTCCGCCAGCCAGAACCAGATAAGCAAACACCTGCTGCAAATCGCTCCCCAGAAGTTGCAGAGACAGGATATAAGAGAAGAAAAATAACAGTGAGGCCTTAAGTCCATAGAACGTTTGACACGTTGTGAAAATCCTTTTGCTTGCATCACCTCCCTTGGTCCTCACAACTGGCCTGTAAAATGGGAGTCCCTTTCCTCATTCTGCTCAATGAAGAAACCGGAATAAGGAAAGTCAGATAATTCACCCAATGCTACAAAGCCAGTAAGTGGTAGAACTATGACTTGAACCCACATCCTCTATAATGCTTTGGTATTTGTGTAAAAGCGTTAGCACGCTCCCTGTCACACCTCATTCTTCCCTTCCCTGACTCTCGTTGCTTCCTCTTCTCATACCAGTCAAGTTTTTCAAAGCAACGAGCGGAGTTTCTAATAGGGTGAATTTTCTGTCTTCCTTTCCCCTGGGTGTTCCCTTCTGAAAACCAGCTTGATACTCTTTTCATGCTGCCGACCAAGAATCCCAGCACAACTCAGAAGCAAGTCCTCTGTGATCCACCACGGTTCATTGCAGGAATCGCAGAGACACAGATGAGTTTAGGGACTTAACTCTAAACCATTGGTCAGGCGTGTCTTCCAGTCTTTAGTCCCTGAATCACAATGCTATCTCAAGGTGTTCCTTACAAACAGGGCTTAAACTCAACCAGGTACTCTTTCCTTACTCACAGGGAAAGTTCCAGAAGTGGCCACCAGAACTTGCATACTGCCCCAAGGTTAAATATATGCAGAACCCTGCCTGCTCATTAGATCCATCTACTGTGTTTATTCGGCGACTTTTTTCTGTTCTTCCCACCTTTAGGCAAGCTGCAAAATAATACTCATTCCTTCTAAAAGATAGTATCAGCCATTTTGAAAGTAGAATCCCAAGTACTTCCACTCGGACTGGTGTGTTGAGCTCAGGAAACTGGCAGAGACTCTGAAAGGACTGGAGCTGGGAGAGCTAATGTAGGGACACCGAGGGGCTCTGCATTTCAGGGTTCCAGCCAGTCAGTATCCCAGTTGCCGTGACTCCTGCTCAATGGGACAAATGCTATCTGAGAAAGACTTACCTCCCTTAGTGAAAGTCCCCAGTCATAGGCCCTTCCCTTATTCTGACTAACTCATGTCCTGCCCCCCTCTCCAATCCCAGTTCAGTGGTCTCTGGGAGGAATGTGCTGAGTCATCAATGAGCCCCTTGCCTCTCTGTGGCTGCTATTTATTTGGGATCATCTAGGGTCTATAAATAGTAATCATAAAGAAATGAGTTCTTTTTGGATACCTACCATGTGCAAATCTGGTCACTCATGGATTTTGTCTGTCTTTCAAACCCAGTACCTGACACATAGTAGGTGCTCAGAAATTTTCAGGTGAAATTTTGAATGCCCCTGTGTTAGGCTGCTGGGAATTACGGGTATCGAATTCAGGCACATAGACACATATATGAGTTACATGCATAGTGTATACACAATGTGTGGGAAATACCTGTAAGTCTTTCAGTAATTTATACCTGGGAGTACCTCTGGCCATTGTCACGTTGTTATTTTCCAGGTACTGTTGTAGAATTTGGTTGTAAATGGAGCCTGACTGTTCAGTTTTACACTGTTGAATAATGTGGACCAGTAAGAATGATGGAATGCTCTTCATCTTTAGACTCTCAGCCCTTTCTGTAGCCTTGGTCTCCCTTCTCTGCAGACCCTCCCTGTGTTTCTCTGTGAACTCACTCACTTTCTCTCGGGTATTGCCTCTGGAACTAGGAGATGTCGCCAGCCTTAGTTGTGTGCGGTTACTTCATGAAGCGCAATTGCCGAGCAGCTGCCGTGCAAGTGTG